GTTGGGTTGGTTTTGTCCAAGATTTAAGAAGTTTTTTTTTTTTTTCTTGAGAAACTATTGACTTTGGTCAAGACAATCTGGGCTTGAATTATTGTCTACTACTTATAAACTATTAGGATTGTGGCCAGTTATTAACCTCACTGTGCCTTAGTTTTCTCATCTATAGAAGGGGGATGTTGACAGTATGTATTTAGTTGGGGCATTGTGTGGAATAAGTAAGTAACACATGTCAGCTTCTAGAACAGTGCCTTCCTCGTGATAAGTGCTATGTGAGGGATTACTTTGAGGACTGTAGTAGTGCCACTATTGCTTCTCAGTGGCATTTGGGAGAAATCACAGATTTCCTTTTTAGACTGAGAATTCTCTGAGGTCCTTGGGGAGTGAGGCTTAGAATAGCATGTGCAGTTGTATTTACAATCCCACAGGGAGGAATAGGCCAGTTCTTCTGCAGCCTGCCTGTACACATTCACACCCACACAGACTGACTGTTCTTCCCAGATCTGTGCTCGTCTTTCATCTATCCACAAAGAAACAGCCTCTTGGCAGATTTCAAGGCAAGTGGCAGAGCTCCCTATCACCTCACTCAGAAGAGTAAGCTAGACATGGTTCTAGTTTCCTGATGCAATGATATTTGATGATATATACAATGGTTGAGAACACAGGTTCTGTGTTCAAGTCCCATGTTCCCTTCCTAACTTTGTTACCTAACTGTTCTATGCCTGTTTCCCATCTGTACAATGGGAATCATCACAGCCCCTAACTCATGAAGTTTTTTCAATGATTAAATGGAATATGCAAATTCCCAAGAAGTACCTGATATATACGCTGAGTATATAACAAAGGTTAGACTTGCTATCTGATTATTATATCAGGTGAGGAGAATCTGAGCTCTATGAATGATTGACTCATGGCAAAAAAACAACGCAGGTCCATATAGTAGTAAGTTAATTTTAATTATTAATTTTCTAAGTGATAAGTTATGGGCTTACTTGATTTACATTTTTCATTTTTTCAGTACTAGGGTTTGAACTCAGGGCTTCATGCTTGCTAGGCAGGTGTTCTACCACATGAGCCACTCCACCAGTCTAGGCTCACCTATTTGAAATGGATGACTTGTGGAGTACTTAAAATTTAACAACTGGCCTAACAATATAAATAGAATGAAATCTCAGAGCTGGAAAGAGCTCTGATGGCTGTCTTAACTCACCACCCCTCCCACACACATACCTCTGACTATCTCCCAGGTGCTTAGTTGGTCCAGTGCTCTAGAGCTGGAGGGTGTTTAAGTTTATTCCTGTTGAGTTTTTGATGGTCCATCCCATAACAGAGTACTGTGTCTAGCATATGGAGGCCTAAGAGAGTGCTCCTTGTGTGGTTTTCTGGTGGGATGGCACGTATGCAGGTTATTGGAGTATTGGTGAGTCTAGTTTCTCCTGACACTTCAGGTATTACCATGGTGTTGGATATGGCCAATAAAATTGACAGAGAGAAAATAGATGTGACCCAGATGCTCTGCTGAGAAGACCAGGGAGAAGCAGATTGCATATTGATGCCTGTCAAACAGGAACTGTGCACTTGGAGAATTGGAGGGCTAGAAAACATCCAGGAAATGATCCCAACCTTGGAGGTCCAAAACTGAGGAGACAGGGCCAAAGAGGTTAAGGAACGTGGCTACAGTGGCTGGTTACTGTGAGTAAGCAGGGTTAGAATTCTTTCCAGGGATGTGGAGACAAGGCTGGACTCTGGAGACAAGGCTGCTTGGGTTCAAATCTTGGTTCTACCCCTTGTTGGTAATACAATCTTTAGTCATTCAGACTTCTCTTTGCCTCCATTTTCTTCCTTGGAAAATGGAAGTGCTAATAGAGATTTTGTGTGGATTGAATATGTGTAAAGCTCTTAGAATAGTGCCTGGTACATTAAAAGCAATTAGTGTTTGTTACTATTACCTTCCAAAGAACCTCAGGAATGTCAACTTTTGTTTTCTTAGTACTGGGGGTTTGAAATAAGAGCTCTACTTACTAGGCAAGTGCTCTACCACTTGAGTCATGTTCTCAGCACTTTGTGTTTTTAGTTGTTTTTCAGATGGGGTCTTGTGCTTTTTGCCTAGACCAGCCTCCGACTGTGATCTTCCTACTTATGCCCCCCCACATAGCATGGATTACAGGGGTGAGCAACCATGCCTGACTTGTTCTCTGACATAGTCTCACTAACTTCTTTTTGCCAGGGCTGGCCTTGACCCACACTCCTCCTACCTCTGCCTCCCAAGTAGCTGAGATTATACTTGATCTAGGAATGTCAACTCTTTAGCAAGCCAAGAGAATACATGTTTCGACCAGGCTGTTATTTAAAAAGTATTTTCTCTCATTGAAAAACACAGCTTTTGATTCCTTCTCAGCTTCTGATTCAGAAATGGTCTTCAGGACCCATCTGTGAATTCTTTTCTGGAATCACTAAATGACTTTTGGATGGAAGGAAGAATGATTTAAAATTGTTCTTCATTATTTATAGTTTACAGTTCATATTCAGCTAACACAAAGTAATCTGCCGTAGGCCTGGTGTAGATAGACATAGGGCCTGAATGCAAGGGCAGGCCCTTCTCCTTGCCTTCATGGTATGTACCAATGGTGGAACCCTTGGCAGTCAGGTAGGTAATGCTCCCACATTGTGGGAGGATCTTTGATGGTGGAGAATAGACAACTCTTTTATAACAAATGGAAGGAGCCCTTCACCTGATTTCAGAGGTCAAGGAAGGATATTCCAGAAGAAATCATGTCTAGGTTGAGATCTCAGTGATGATTAGATTCTGACTAGTCTGGATGGAAATTGGAAAAGAGTGTGCCAGGCACAGGGGACTGTGTGTGAATGCACATGGGTGCTCAGGTTTGAGACCACACTGGGGCTCAACCAGCTTATTCAGCATTTAACATGCATTTATTAATCATTTACTGCGCAACAGGCGTTGTTTTACATAATGTAGAGGCATTAGTTATGGGGAACCTTTGGAAAGAAGTGACAGTCATGCTGAGACCTGAATGTGAAAGAACCAGCCACATAAATATCTGGGGAAGGCGGAAGGAGCATCAAAGGAGAGAACTCAGAAGCAGGCACACTCTTAGTGTGCTGGAGAAACTAAAGGAGGGTCAGGGTGCTGGTGTGTGAAGGTGTGGTAAAGTGTATGAATAATTCAAAAGGTGTTTCATTAGCTTGGCTATGATCAAAAAGACGGAAGATAACAAGAAAAGGGAACCCTAATGTGCTGTGGGTAGGAACATAGATTGGTACAGTGTGATTGAGAAAAACAGTATGGAGGCTCCTAAAGAGATTAAAAATAGAGCTACTATATGACCTAGCAGCCCTTCTTCTGAGAATACACCCAAAGGAGATAAAAATCACTGTCTTGTATAGATATTAACATTCCCATATTCATTGCATTATTACCTACAGTAACCAAGATAGGAAACAAGGCAAGTGTCTGTTGATGGAGAAATGGATAAAAAAATGTGATGTGAAAGCCAAGCATGGTGGCTAAAGCCAGTAATTCTAGCTACTAGAGTGGCAGAGATTGGGAGGATCATGGTTCAAGGCCAGCCCAGGCAAACAGTTTGTGAGACCCCCATCTCAAGCAATGGTTGCGTACAGTAGTTGTGCACCCACCCACCTATCATCCCAGCTATGTGGGAAGCACAAATAGGAGAATCTTAGTCCAGGCTGACCTGGGGCTAAAGCAAGATCCTATCTCAAAAATATGCACCATGCAAAGGGCTGGAGATGTGACTCCAGTGATAGAGAGCCTGCTTAACAAGAGTCAGGCCCTGAATTCAAACCCCAGTGTCACCAAAAATGTGTGTGTATGCATGTTAATGTGCCTTTGCATAGATACGTACATGTGGACATGTTTGTGTACATATAGATACACACAATGGAGTATTATTAGCCTTATAAAGGAGATCCTGCCATTTCCTTCAGCATGGATGGATCAAAAGGAGTTAGTGCCAAGTGAAATAAGCCAGACACACAAAAAAATTGCATATTCTTACTTATATATGGAATCTTTTGTTTTTTTAAAGCAAACATACAGAAACAGAAATAAATAGTGGTTCCTAAGGATGGGGTTGGAGCAGGAGGAGAAGATGGGGAAATACAGGTCAAAGGATACAATGTAGTAGATATGTAGAATAAACTAGTATAGAGATCTAATTTACAACATGAAGACTCTAGTTAGTAAAGTTGTATTTATTAGGGAAACTTGTTAAATAAGTAGATTTTAGCTTCTCTTGTCACACACAAAAAAGTAGCTTTGTGACGTGATATGTTAATTTGCCTCTCTACAGTAATCATTTTGCTATCTATATGCAGCATCATGTACAACATAGAATCACGTTGTAAACCTCAAATATTTAAAAAATAATTCAAAGGGTATTTGGGTTGAGTCTTGATGCTGAGAAAGTTTAAGAACATTTGTAGTACAAATCAGTTAAAATACACACACACACACACACACACACACACACAATGAGTCTTTTTTTCAAAAGTAGGAAGCTTTTGGAAAATTGTAGTTGCAACTATCTCTTCTCTGAAGTGGGGCTTGGCTCTGTGGGTTTTAATAAATGAGATGAAAAACATATTTCCCACAGAATTGCACATGAGGCAAATGTGCTATCACATGTCCTATTTCCAGTTATGGATCCTTGTAAACAACATAAGCTATCAGCAGGGCTGCCCAGCTGAAGTCCAGGGCTGACTGTGTTGATTACAGCTCCCCAGTATCTTCTCCTGGGTACTTACCATCCATTTCTAATTATCTCCATGAGCTTTTTTCCTGTTTCATCCCTTTGAAGTCAAATTTCTGTTTCAGAAGTGCTTAATATCCTTTTTATCCAGTTTGAACTTGCTTGATCAAGACTAATCATTCATGTTCTTCTTTCCTTTTCCTGGATTGTCTGTCTCTTTGTTGGATCACAGAGCCAGATGAGAGACTCATGATTCTTGTTTGCTCTTAGTCAACAGCTTTGGGGATGATGAAGAGCCATCTACATCTTCTGACAGCAATGAGGATGTGATTAGACAATTTGAGATTTCTGTGTCCCGATCCCAGAGTTTCCGTGCAGAAGCATCTGAGAAAGGAAAGCCAACAGAATTGGGCCAGAAATCAAAATGCAACCATTCACTCCCTACCCACGAAGAAGATAGCCCTGAAGCATCTGCCTGTGAAGGTATCCTTTATACTATGATTTCCCTCTAACTAGACTAGGGATGGCCAATGGTAAGAGTGTTTCTGAGTTGTTTGAATGTTACACTCTGAATTTAAGAGTCCAGAGAGGAAAAGAAAACAAAGTAAAGTAAAATAAACTGCAGGGAGGATACAAAAAGAATAGTAGAATATTTCTTCATGCTTTGTCCAGCAAAGGTCAGGCATGTGTTTGACATCTATAGACCCAAAGTTCTAAATAGACACAGGTATAGAACAGGGAAGGCTCTGAGAAGTACAGTGAGTAAAACGCTACGAAAAAGTCCCACCTTTCATCTTCATGACTGGTCTCAGTGACCTGACTTCTCCAGCCATCTCCTTTTTTTCCCTTTTGGGCATGTGGTCAGTCACACCAATGGGGGAATAATAGTACATCTTTCATGTTTTCAACACTAGACAGAGAAAAATGAGAGCACTGAAATTGAGAGAATATAAAAGGGAATTTTTGATTTGATGAGAACAGGACAGGCAGAGAAAGAACAAAGAAAAAAAGGTTAGACTGTTAACAAATGACCCTTATTTTTCTTCAGGGAAGATTTGCTCTCTGTCATGTCATTTGACTTATTGACATAACCCAACATAACATATTTTGTTGCTGTTCTATTTAGCCCAAGGTAGGCTAATAAATATTGGCTTTGTGTAACCAAACCACAGTATCAATGGCTGTGGACCTGCTGTCATTTCCTCACTCCTCTCTTGGTTTTTCTCTTTCCCTGGTGCTATATCACAGCATTCCTTTTGCTCCATCAAGAGGGCAAATGTTAGCTAATGAAAGTTAATAACAGTTGATTCCCTGGGAGTTGCTTGTTTAATTTTAAAGCTGATGGCCCCATTTCCCAGAAGTCTTGAGTGTCTGGGCTCTGATTTATACTTAAGCCTGAGTATCCAAGGTTTCTGAGAGCTGTGACAACCACTTAACCCTCACCCTTCCTGGAATCAGCAATAACTTATCTCTTGTCATAACTGGTAATTCTGAATTTTTGACATATAGTGATAGAAAAGGTAAACTTTTATTTATTGGAGAGAGGAAAAAACTCCACAACATTGAATGAATTATCTGTTAATTTTGAAGAAAATCAGCAGGATCTTCATGGCAAATTTTTGGTCTCAAATGCCATGGAAATATTAATGTAATTTAAATTGCTTGTTTTTTTTTCTATTTCTTTTTATTTATCTTTATATCAGTAGATGTGTTTCCCTGATAAATAATAATGAAAATATTAAGCATGCATCTCAGAGAAGGTTTCTTTTTTGTTTTATTGTCTATTTAGCTATTTCATTCTACCATAAATATTTTCTAAGGTAAAGTTTAATTGCTTCCACTTTAAAAATGATTCAAACATGTTGGAAAATGAAATTAAAAGTCTAAATCCAAGTAACCTCTGAACCATTAATGAGCTACAGATAGGTTGTAAAATGGTGACATTATTAACACCATATCCTAGGCACGGGCTCTTTTTGTCCCATGCATCTGACTTAGAGTTACTGTGCTTTGCTTATCAATATATTCCTGATTATATCATTGCGGGTTTGGTGCAAATTGTCTGAAATGATAGGCTGAGTGTAAGGGCTTTAAGCATGAAAGATGGGCTAGGCCACTTACTTGAGCTGTTTTTTGAGCAATAACTTTATTTTTGCTAGTTAATGATAGTTAATCCTTAGGAACCTACCCTTCTTGACATCATTAACAGCAGCAGCTCAGTTATTCCCCAGAATCTCTATTCAGTTCTTCTTTTTTTTTGGATGCTATATCCCTTGTGGTCCATCCAGAGAGATAGGACTAGTCGGAATGCATCTATTCATGTACCTGTACTTGATTGCAAATGTGTGTGTGTATGGGTATTTCAAGAGATTTATTGCAAAGAATTGGCTTATGGTCATGGGGGCTGGCTAGGGAACAAAAATACACAGCTCCAAAATCCACAGATTAGGCTGTCAGGAAGGGTAGGCTCAAACTCTCAGCAGTGAGTTGATGCCGCAGTTCTTAGGTGCAATTTCTTCTCTAGGGGAGCCCCAGTTCTCTTACGGCCTTTCAACAGACTGATGATATAAGAGGATTTCCTTTACTTGAAGTCAACTGATTATGGACTTTAACCACACCCTCAAAATACCTCCTTATCAATACCTATTAGTGTTTTATTGAATACTTGGTACCTGTGGCCCAGCTAAGGTGATACATAAAACTGACCACCATAGACAGTAAGCAGAAATCTTTATATATGGCTAGTGTTGGGAATGAGAGTTTGTAGTATGAAACAAAATAATTGTGTAATAGGGTTTCATTCCATCAAAGTGGATTATAAACTAAACCAAAGAATTTCTCTGCTCAAATAAATATAGTTGATGTGACATAATTATAACCTATAATTTCTAAGAAACTGGAATGAATTTCTCTGACATCCAGCCATTACTTTTGTGTATTTGTGTGTGTGTGTGTGTGTGTGTGTGTGTGTGTGTGTATGTGTTTTAGGTGAGACGATCCTCATTAATTTAAAGGCCTGGAATTAATTTAAAGGTATGGAAAGGTGACTTGCTTTCCCTTTCCTCCTTGCAGCTTTACTTGTAGTCTGACTGCTTTTCTAATTCATTCCTTGCTTGTCTGTCACAGAAAATGGTTTGTTACATTAATATAGTTCTTCTGTTTTTCAGTTATGAATAATGCTTCAAGGCTTAAAGTAGCAGTTGAAAATTCCCTTAGTACTGATCTAGGTATTATCACTATAGGAGTTAAACTCATGAGATAATTTTATAGGGGTAATTTCTTGGCCAAGTTAGATTTTATGCTGAAATCCTGCTGGGTGCTATACACATTGATGGATAACCCGCTGTTTAATAGAACATTCTACTGTTCATGTATGAGAGGAATGGGTGTGCTAATTAGAGACATAAAAGAAAATTCTGCTTCATGTTGTAGATTTTTGCATGTGGAGCTTCTCTTGTTCTGTCATTTTCTGTTGCCTTTTAAAAGTGTGTTTGCCAAATAACTGAAAGCATGGATGTAGAATTCTTGTGGTATCCTCTGAAAATGTTTCCAAGGGACCTGAACTGAATGTTTAAGAATAACAAAGCAAATAGAGGAATTTCTCAGTGGCCTGATGTGGTTTTGAAAAATCCTAAATCATGAGTCTAAGGTTCTGTCCCAAGGACATCTGCCTGAAAATGTTTTTATATGGTCTGCATAGGATGATATATTTTTAAAGTTGGAATTCTTACTGTATACAAGTCCTGTACTCTGTTTAACCCCTGTCACCAACACTCCATAATACTGCCTTCATGGCTGATGGGGACTACGCTGTAGGTATGTGACTTAGTGCTTCCAGGAGCTTATGTTCTACCCAAGGTTGTAAGTGTAATGGGAAGATAATTGCTCCATACAGTGCATGCATAAGAGCTGGGTTTATAACATCTACTTTACCATCCTGCTTGTTCATCCTGTTATACCTCTAATTTTCTCTTATCCTTGGATAAGAGCATCCTTGATGAGGACTGCTGGAAGGGACTGGAGGCCAAAGAGAAAAGACATCTTAGCTGCTCTTTGAGCATGGGTGGTAAATCAGGGTGAAGATTATTGCTTAGGAGGAACTTGTCCATTTTTCCTTACTGTCTGAGAGCAACTAGACATTGAGGGAGAAAAATGGGGTGAACAGGGGTTGGGAGGTATGGCAGTATGGGAGGAGAGACAGAGGGAAAGATAGAGAGAGAAAAGAGAAAAACACTGAGCCCTAGGACTGAGGGATGGCTCAGTACTACCTGGTGCTTTGGGTAGATAGGAAGGAAAGGGTAAGGAGGAAAGGCTTGAGGGCTGCTGTGAACAGAAGTGCATAATTAGCATTCTCATAAGGCAGTGAAACCAGAGGTGACTGTGAGTTGAGAAGCAGTAGAAACTGGGGCTTGATGAGTTGTAAGAGGCAAGTTTGAGCCAGATAGGTAAACAAGGATAATGTTTGTGGGAAACCTGCTGGCTTCCTGATACATATTATTTCATGTGTCTTCAAGGATCCTGGAATGGTTTTTTATCATTTTTTATACAAGGAAATAAAGGTTTAGAGACTATGAATATTGGTTCAAGTTGTTAAGGTAGAGACAAGGTTTAAACCCAGATTGTCTGAATTCAAGTGCAGTGTTCTTTCAGTGGATCAAGTAGAGAACTTTGAGAACTGGGAGAACACTGAAGACTTTTGTTTTTTGGGGACAGGGTCTTACTCTGTAGCCCAGGCTGGTCTGGAACTCTAGCTTCCCCTGCCTCAGCCTACTGAATGCTTTGAGTACAGTTGTGTGCAACCACACCTGGCTCCCACTGAAGTCTTTTGAACACAGGGGCAATACAAGTGATGTGGAAGAGAGAAGGAACAGTGGTAGAGCAGGAGACTGGTCTTCATGTTAGATTACTATTTTTGCTTTCTAGATCCATCACTGAAGTCTTGTGGTTTTTAACTCCAACAAAACACTAGCTTGTTTATTTCATTCTTTTAACATAAATGTTAATTCTTTATACTCACACAATTAGGAAGCATCAAACCTACTTTTATGCCACATATTGAACTGATGGTCTTTTTGATTATGTGGACCATGTTTACCCAGTGTATGGTGGGATTGTGTTTCAGCAGGTGTTAACTGTGATAGGTTTTGTTTCTGCAGTCTTAATTGTGGTTACAATTGCTTGGACTCTAGGTAAAAAGGCGTAAAAATATAAAGCATTTGAAATTGTTTTCTTATGACAAATTTAGATTTTGATGGAAACAGCCAACTGAGTTATTCTGAGATTCTGTCTTATGAAGATCAACCCATCTCTACCACCTCACAGTCTCCATGTGAGAGGGGGGATATCAGGCACCACAGTCCATCTTACCAAGGGACCAGTGTGGTTAGAAGCCTCAGTCGTCAGTCTACAGAGGGCAGTTTGGAGACAGAAACAGCTTTTAACAACCGGGGCTTTGAGGATTCTTACGCCACTGACAGCTCCTCCGTGTGTAGTCCAGAGGCAAGTTATTTACTTTCTGTTCTTTGTTTTCGTATTGTGTACTCATTGGTCTCTCTCTCTTTTTTTTTTCCTCATTGGTCTCTTTCCTCTTCCTTTCCCTCACCAAATTTCTCCAGAAAGTAAGCATTGCCTTGACCTTAAAATCTTTTATTTGAAATAAATTTTTGTTCAGATGCCAAAGGCCTTACACATATCAACAAAAGAATCATAAATACATTTCTTTCAAAATGGAAATAAAAAGAAGAATGATGGGAAAAAATGAGGAAGAATGGTGACAGAATGGACTCTTACAGGTTTATTTTTATACAAAAGAATTTTTAGGACTTTCAAAAGGCTGGCTTATTTCTTTCATGAAAAATGGAATATGAGTTACAGCTGTTTGAATGAAAATTATTTGAGAATTTAACTAAAATGGCCCTCCAAATGAAATTATTCATGATATTATGATGAGAATTCTGTAGTGTTAGTATATTTATTAACTTTGAATCAAATCGAAGGTCTAGGAGATGCCATTAATTTGTAATGAACCTCTGGCCATTGATGTTGTTTTGTTATAAATTTCTGATGAAAGATATGTTTTCCACATTTCTTCTTCAATTAAAGCCTGACCATAATATGCCTAACCATCAGAAAGATGGCTGTAGGTGATGATGGTAGTAGCTACCACTTAAAAGGATACCAGTTAATATAGTCCAGGTACTATAAGGATTTTATATTGTTTTATCTTACAGACCTTTATAGTTATTCTTTATTAGATCCATCCTTCCTGTAAGGATTCTATGACATTGGAAGGTATTAAATAGTGGTGAAATTAATTGTAATAAAATAAATCATGTAAGTATATAAAACTTAAGTTTATATAATTTGTAGAGATAGAGGAAGAGAAAGGTGAATGGATTTGATTAGCAGTAGCCTGAGAAAATAAATGGGATGAATAGGATCCAGGTAGTCACGGTCAAAAAATGTTCAAAGAAATACAAAAGAAAATTTCAAAAAATGATGTTCTGACATAATAAGGCTGTGTGGGGAGTTTGTAAAGAGGTATATCTGTGCCTCTGTGTTGGTGTTTCTGCTGAGAGCCAGAAATGGTAACTCAGATATGTGGTTTGTGGCTTGTTAAAAAAGTAGTGCTTCCTATAGAGGCACCCAAAGCTATTAACCTTATCAGCTCTGTTAAAAAGAGATAGAGAAAGAGAAAAAAAAAATCTGCTTCCAAATTGTTTCATTGTTAAGAGTCATATCAAATTCTGTAGAATATTTAAAAATATTCTTTTGGCTACCTCACCACAAAAACAAAACAGAACTATTTACCTGCCTGTTGATGCTTTGTCTCCTTGATAATCGTGCCATTAGGCTTGGAAGTGTCTTTTCAACATAACCTCCCATTTACCTACCTCCTGGAGCCTTAAAAAAAGATCGGTGTTGAGGGTACTAAATGTTCTCAGACTCCAAAAATACCCAGACATCTCTGTGTGCTCCATTCAACCTCCTATCTATTTTGAGACAAAAACTGTAATTTGGTGCTCCTACAGTAGAACTTCAAATCCAACTCAGAGGCAGTTCCCATAACTGCCTGTTCTGCAGGCTTAGCTTGTCTTTTAAGCATTGATTTATTTGCCTCTTAGCTGTGTTAAGAACCATGTCTTCCCTCATGTATCTGGCACCAGGAACGTATTTGTGGGTCTGTTTACTTTGGGCCACACGATGACATCAACACTATCTTACTAAAGCAGAAAGGCTTTTCAGTTTGACAGAAAATCTTTAAACCTACATGGGTTTTGACAATTTGATGCTAGTTTTCCCATCTTCAAGGGAAAAAAACAGGATATTAGAGCTCAAGGAATCATTTATTTTGTCTCAGAAGGAAACTGGTCATGTGGTGTGACTACCTGCTGTGCTGAAGGATTTTTGAGTGCTGCTCTTCTCAGCTGGCAAGGACCATTGACTTTTTCCTGTAGACCTAGGACTTGGCAGGGAAAACAATGGGAGGGTGGCTCGTGATTTTGAGCACACTGGGAGACAGGTGTCCCACTTTTCATCTCTGCTTTCCACTGATTAATTGGTTGGCCTTGAGAAGTTAATTAAAATCTGCCAAATGGGGATAAGAATGAAGAGATTTTACCTTGCAGGAAGGTCAAATGGATTAACAGTACCCACATGAGGAGCTCCTACAGTTACCTGGTGATGGGTAATGTGTGTTGAAATAATTAATTGCTATGAAAATGCCAGCCTTCACAAATGTCTGTCTCAAATCAGCCCAGGCAGGGGCTGCAAAGTACAGTTTTCATGGGTCACACCTCAGATTGGACCATCCAGAACATGGCTGTTGCCTGGATATTCAAAGTTCTTAGGACAGTTACTAAAGAGCCTAACATGGGACTCTCCAGAAACCTGCAGGTAGAGTGAGCATTTATCTGAATAGATAGCCTGATAGGCACACAAGGAGAGATCCTCACTAACTGGGCCATTTTTAGTTTGGCATTGAAGTTGATGACAATGAGTAGGAACCTAAAAAGTATGTGAAATTCACAGTAGTGTTTTCCAACTTCTACTCTCATCTTCTTTCACTCTTCATTTCACATACCATATGTATATATATATATATATATATATATATGCAGCTATGGTGAAAGGTCTAGGGGAGAAGAAGGAAAACCTTATGACTCCACATAAGGTTTGGGATTTTGAGGGTTCAATACTGGATAAGGAAACTCTAGATTCATTTTGCCAGGGTGTGAATCTTGGATGATCCTGGCTGGGTGTATGACCTTGACATGGGGTTGGGAAGATGGTATTTATTTAGCTTTCCTTAGCTTTAATTTCCTCCTCAAAGAAGTGAAGATACCTTATTGTACCTTATTAGGCTGATGTAAATATTTTAAAAAATACTGTTTCTTAACTAACTAGTTTCCTCAATAAAGCAGAGCCCAAGGCAAAGTCTTTTGTTCTCTACTTTGTTGGGGAGTGCAATGTCAGGGAACAAGAGTGAAGGATGAGGAAGTGAGGCAGGGAAAAAGGAAGATCCAGTATGAGCATGTGCCATTGAGTTGGCACATATGGATAGTTACTTTATCTTATGAGACTACACTCCAAGAAGTTATACAACATGATCTCATCTTAGGATGGCTGACCAAGGGGAGAAAAGTTTATTGCATAGGGCATTAATTGTGGCAAACTCTGGACTTCACATACCTGGTGGAAGTAAGTGTTTTACCCTTTCTGAGCCTTAAAATCAACAGGCCAATGATGAGAGATGAGAATATATTTTATGAGCAGGAAGTAAAATTTATTGGACTGTGCCAGGCTGCAGTTATTTAGAGCCCAGACAGACCTGTGTCTATAGGGGAAGATGGAAAAAATGAGATCAAGAAGATCTGATGTATATAAGATCTGGCTTTTATAGTCTATAAAGGGCTTTGTATGGTACCTAGCATAAGGAACGGCTTCTTGTTAGCTATTATTACTCAAGCCTAGGCAAGCAATATAGAGATGATCAAGAGTAGGCTAAAATAGATGGGAGTTTTAAGAAGAGATAAGGGAGTTTGAGAGAAGATTCTGACTTGATTTTTGAGTTAGCATAACTCCTTGGAGACTTGTTTCTAATATTATATATACACTAGTCAGTTGTATTCAGAAGTCTCTATAGCAACAACCACTTTTATCACTTGAAACTAAGAATCTCTGAATAGCAATGCTCATACATGATTGCATGCTTGCATGCTCAAAGGAAAGAATATAAGAAGCCTCCTTTATTTTGTAAGAATCTTAATTTTTTTGGCAGGCTAATTTGAACTTAAAAGAGAAGGGCATTTATAAGCTGTCTACTATGTCAGGTCTACTTTTCACAACATCCCTGTACAGTGGGTATCATACCACTTTTACTATTGAGGAAGACAGAACATTGAAAGGATTCAATCATTTACCCAGTGTCATAGAACTAGTAAATGGTAGACCTGGGTGTCTTAAGAATGTTTGGTTCCAGACAATTATGGGCTGGTGAATGGACATTTTGAGGCATTTCATTATAGTTTTTGAAGTCATCTCTAAATTAACCAAGGTTGGTGCTCAAGTCCATAAATAAGAACTGATTTACAATAAGAATGGGTCCATTCTGAGACCTGTTTATTTACTAGCAAGTGTCAGTCCTTCAGAGGAAAATTAAAATTATGTTGACATTATTTATAATTTATATTTATATATAAAATATATTTATGTTTATATATAAAACAAATTTATGTATTTGTTCATTATGACAAATGCAGTTCAGCTCAGTTTTCTCAATGGGGGCATTAGATGTGAGGGACTGCAAATGAATTGATGTCTAAGAATGATATTCTATAAGGAGGAATGTTTGAAAATAAGTAGCACCAGACCAATGGTGGGGCTAGATATGGAGTCCAATCTTAAGGAAGTATCTTCACACCTATCAGAACTTCGCACCACGACTCTATCAAGAAGGTACATAATGTGCCCTTTTTTGCTAGTGTATATGGAAGCTTAAATTTTTTTAGCCCTGGCTACAGCTGAAAATGTTCATCTCTGGTAGGGTTATGATTTCAGTTCAAGTGTTCTGATTCCAGGTCCAGATTTGCTTTTTACTAAATGGCTTCTAAGGGGTGTCCTTCTTAATTTTTGTTTCTCAAAGTGTGAGCCAAGGCCAGCAATCCGTGTAAGCATTTTAGAAACGCATCACAAGACCAACTCCAGACCTAGTGAATCAGAATCCTTGGATGATTCAGGTCCACATTAAAGTTTGAGAAGCTTGGCCCTACACTTTTTTTTTCAGAGAGACTGAAAATGTATTGAAAGACCACCTTCCCAGGGCCCCCATTAGGATTTTTGTCTGTAGGAGTTTCTAGTCTGTAGAGAACTTGCCCAGGCTTAACCTTTTCTGCTGGGAACTCAAGGAAAAGTCACCTGTTGGGATTGGTTGACTTAAGTTTTAGACTTAATATTTCAGTTGGTTTGAATGATAGTGGGCAGTTGTGCTTTTTGAGAGGCAGTGTACATGAAATTGCTTTCCAAAATATAACTTTATTTATTCATTCCAAAAACAGTCATGAAAGCTTACCATATGTCAGGCAGTGTGCCCTCCAAGAATTCACAGTCTAAAGGAGAAGATCAGTAAATAGACCTTTCCAACATAGAAAGGTCATGTGCTGGCAGTCAGAAGGCATGGGGTTCTGAAGGAGCACCAAGGGACACCAAGTTGCCAAAATATATAGAAGTCATCATTTCCATTCTTAATCTTTCCCTCTGCCTGCAATAGGAACAGGACGGGACCAATCAACAAGTACTATCTGGGGTATTAGAGCCCATTTCAAAGTGTGGTGACCTGGATGTCATCTTTGAATATAGAGCTGTGACCCAGAAGCTCATAGTGACCATTGTGAGAGCACAAGGCCTTCCAGATAAGGACCGAAGTGGTGTCAACTTCTGGCAAGTTCATGTTGTGTTGCTGCCCAATAAGAAACAGAGGGGCAGAACACACATACAGAGAGGTCCCAACCCTATCTTCAAGGAGAAGGTCACCTTCACAAAACTGGAGCCCAGAGATATGACTGCCTGTGCTGTCCGCTTTCGCCTGTATGCTGCCCGTAAGATGACCCGAGAGAGAATGATGGGAGAAAAGCTGTTCTATCTCAGCCACTTGCACCCAGAAGGGGAAATGAAAGTGACTCTGGTTCTGGAGCCAAGAAGTAATATAAGTGTGAGTATGTTAAATGGTGCTGCTAATGATGTGATGTGTTTGAAGATCTGGGACTGTCAGTCATTGATTTAATACATTCAGCTTGTGAATTCAGAGACCTTAATTTAATTTTCCATTTGGCTCTCATCCTTATGAGCCATGATTTGTACTTCATGGTACGATGCATCTTTCATGCCTGTCCTCCTGATAACCTGATGGATGTATTCCCTGTCCATTTTAGGAAATGACAGCAGTAGTATGGTAGAGGACATGAAAGAACCTGGAGAGGTGCTGGGCTTTTGGGTTAGTGGAAAAGTGGTCCTATACCTCCCACTCCCAGTGACTCTCAGAGATAGGATTTTTAAAGCAAGGTCCCTAACAAATGTGTGGGAGCAGCATACAACAGCATCCCTGAACTCCAGACACTTCTGAGATCTTCCATTTATATAACTGGGCTCTTCCCATGTGCCTCATTCCTTTGCTTGCTCCAGGCTTTTAGGGAAGACATAGGGTATGTGTCTACAAGATTTGCAACTCTACTATTGCCTTGGGTTCTCTCATCTAATGTGAAGATGTCCTTTCAGAAAACCACGTGAAAAGATTGGGTGGCTGTGGGTTACTGGCCCAATCAGTCATTCATTCAAAGATGTTTACTGTCAAGTACTAGAGGCCAAGTGAGAGCAGAAACACATTAAGCAGCTAATACTCCACCGTCTCTAGTGGAGGAAGGTGTCATTGGGAAGATCCTGGTAGTCAAGGAGAGAAAGTGCCAGAGGCTGCTGTGTGTTTAGAGAGGTCAAGGAAGGTGATAAAACTCAGAGCTCAAGCAATTGAGGGAACAAGACCGGTGACATGTGGAAGCTGAGGATTTGAGGCAGAGATATATAGGCATGAGGCTGGGGACTTGCCATGTTTGAGGAAGAACAAAGGAGTTGGGTTAGAGTGTAGTGGTGTGATACCCATCCCACTGAATTCCTCATCATGCCTCCACATCTTCGGACTTAAAACTTTTGATTTGTACCTCCCTAAATCTATTCCACCTGCCATTTCCTGACTTGCCTAGAGGCAACTTCATCCTTATAGTTATAAAGGGTCAAACTCTTAAAAGTCATCTGTGACTTCTCTCTTTTCCACCCGAAACCTTATTAGCTCTGTCTTCAGATACAACCAGAATCTGGTTCTCTGTTGGAATGCTAAAATAGCCTCCTGACTGTGGCCTCTCCACCTTTGCACCCTACAGACTATTTTGGATTTGGGAGATAGAATGAGCCTGGTAAAGCATAAGCTAGATTGTTTCTCACATCTACTTAAACCCCTCTTTTTCTTAAGCTCTGACTAAACTATATCCAAAATCATGGCGAACAGAAACCACAGGAGGTCAGAAAGGACCTGAACTGTTAAGCACAGGGGAGGTGTGATCATGCCTATATATCTTGGTACCAGGTGCTTTGCTCTGCGATGGGAACACAGATTGGATGGGGAGAAGGATCAAGTGTGAAAGAACATAACATTGAAGGTGACAATTCTTTCTTCCATGAGCTATGTTGAGCATGATTATATGCTAGACATTGGCTATGCATTGTTGACTGAGAGATTTATTTATTTATTTAATCCTTTGGTGGCACTGGGGTTTGAACTCAGGGCCTCATGCTTGCTAGGCAGGTGCTCTTACCACTTGAGCTACTCCACCAGTCCTTTTTTGTGACAGGTTATTTGGAGATAGGGTCTCATGAACTATTTTGCCCAGAGAGGCTTCAAACCATGATCCTCCTGTCTTTGCCTCCTGAGTAACCAGGATTACAGGCATGAGCCACTGGACCTAGACATTTATATGCCCTGGTTTCTATGCATTAGAGACTGAGAAATGGATATAAGTTCAGAATTTGATGGGACAGGCAAACAGTACAGTGACAGGTACCATAGTCGGGGCTTGTATAGAAGTCCAGTGGCAGGGGTGACCCTACCCAAAACTAAGCAAATGCTTCATTGATGGATTTGCATCTTCTAGACAGCAGAGCCTGCAAGTCACCTGTCAAAACCCCATAGCCCCATAGTTTAAAATTTGTGTTCTTGGAGCCTTAATGCCCATGGTTTGGTAAAAAGGATACTGACCTATACAGAGATGTGCAGAATATTTACTGTCTTTCATTGCTGGCTTCCTGATAAGTTTTAGGAAATGATTTCAAATAGTTAAAGGTTTAAGCAAAGCACATTGTACTTGTTTCTGGTGGAGGAGGTGGTGTGTTAGGGAGGTTAGTGGCCTGCTCCAGGAGGGTGATGCCCACTTCTGCTCCTCAGTGAGAACAAGCATCCTGGTCTACTTTTTTTTCCCCTCCCAGTGTGCCTGGTGCATAAAGGTATTCAGAAGCATGCACATGAATAGACATGTCAGAAAGCCTGGGCTCTTTCCTATGCTCACCTGCTGCCTGCTAGGTCATAGAGATCCATAATCTATGTGTCAACTTCTTTAGCAAATGCTCATGAAAGTGCTCATTTTCAATGTAACTCATTTCCTTAGAGGGCAAAATTTAGCATCTGGCATATACCTCAAGAAGCAGAACTAGGGGTCAAATGTTCTATGTGCTGGTCAATGTCTAGTGGTCATTTCTTTTATTGAGACAAAATGCTTCCAGTATTGCCATATTCATTATGAGGGCTCAGAGAACAGAAACAAAACTCAGGCATGGAGTAGATGGGTTCCTTAGAAACATTCAGGCACAAATTACACAGGAGGGAATTTTGGTGTATATTAAATGTATTATTAGCTCTCCATGTATCTTAGAAGGTTTGATTTACACTAGTAATAATGTCTTTGTCCAATTGTCTTTTGAGAGAAAATATGGAATGGAGACAGCTCCTGGAACAAATATGTCAGCTAATAATGAAGGCATCTTATCCATGGCTGTGCTCCCCAGCACATTGTAATTCACACCGAGTGCCTGTTAGTAATCTTTGGCAGTCATTGAGATTGGGTCACAATTTCACCAAACAAAATATCGGCTTTCTCTAAAAGAGGAATGCAGCCTGGGCCAATGGATTCTTTGTGTTCTTCCCCTCCAGAGTGGAGAGTCTCCGCTCAGCCCATCTGCAGTTTCTCACAGTGATAGTGCTTCATCCACACAGTCGCTGTCTCATGGAGGGGCGCCAGAGCTGTTGGTGGGGCTGTCCTACAATGCTACAACAGGGCGATTATCTGTGGAAATGATCAAAGGCAGCCATTTCCGAAACCTCGCTGTTAACCGAGCTCCTGGTAAGTGTGTGTCTGTTGCTCCAGCTCTGGTCCCTCCAGAGGCAAATAGAAAGCCAGGTTTTCTTTCATCTTAACTCTGTTATTTTTATTGTAAAAATTACTTGGTATAGCTTAGGCAAGTTTTCACAAAGCAATGCCTCTGGATTTCTTAATGGCTTTCTCTTTAATTGGACTGAAGGCCTCTATGATATTAGATGCATCTTGACATGAAATGGACTGGCCTGCGTGCCTACATTAAAGGAAAGCATAGTTTATATGAACAATTAAAAATCTGCTAATATGTCCGAGGTCCTCAACTTTAAAGAGGTGGAGCTCTGACTTTGGAGGTAGGCAGATCTGGGGTTGAATTCCAGTTCTATATTTACCCACTATCTTTGCTCTGATCTAATTCAATTATGCTTTTTCTGAATTCCAGTTAACTTGTCAGGGGGGAGAAAGAGATGTTGATACTACTTTCCTAATGGGGTTATTTTGGGATTAAATACAATGATTTATGTAAAGAGTTTAGAATAATATCTAACATAGTGAACACACATGAAATGTTAGTAATTACAGTGATGGAGAAGGAGATGGAGGAGGAAGATATGTGGCAATGCAGACCATCTTACCAGGGGAAATGATCACTTACAAGGTCATTACTAGAAAGAAGGGCTTAAGACACCCTTCATGGCTGTAGTTCAGCATTCAGGAAGGCAAACAACTGCCACCACCAACTACCTCAACAACCTCTCAGCCTAAGAAGTTGGATGCTGAACATTGAAATAACACTGTTAAAAATTAGCTCATCTTTTATGGTCTTCCTTACCAGAAAAAAAAAAAAGCTTGAAAAAGGATAGGGAGATAGTGTCTGTCTCACTTCTGCAAATACATCTAAACAGAAGAATGTAAAAAGGATGCTAGCTGCAAGAGAGTCTGAAACATGTTGTTGAATTTTTAGCCTTTTATGAGCAATAAGATAAAGTAGAAGGGGGGGTAAAGTAGAGAAGCAGGGGCCTGCTGACCACTGGCACCAAAGTCTTATTGAAAGAAGGGTGAATATAATTCAGTAAGGTAGAAAGAGTCAATGGGCTGTGGCCACACATGGCAGCAACAGGGAAGAACCAGGTGAATGAATAGAACTGATTTGGGCTTCCATTGTTTTTGTTTTGTCCTTCGGTGTGTTATAGACCACAAAGTGTCTGTTGTATTGTTGTATGTGGGTATTTTGTTAGACAGTATTAAAGCTATCAGAGTAAGTTAGGAAAGCCCCAGAACTCTGGGTTACAGAATAGACCAGGTGTATAACTCATATTCTGTGTCACACTGCTTAGAGCAGGTGAGAGCCATTTAGAATGCATAATAGGCTCTGATTATCAGTTGCACAACTACAGTCTCTTTGTTTTCCACAATAGCCCTGAATTTACTCAAGTCTAGATTTACTACTACTCCTTCAGTGTTTTTGCCTATCTCTTTTCCTATTCTCCTGAGATAAGTAAGGTCTGAACAATATTTTAGAGACATGGTGGAGATGCAGAGAATGATGGAGATGTGGATCACACAAACATGGTTTATTCCAGTGCAAGCTTGGACGTTGTCCTTTGAGGGCTGGGTGTAGCCCAGGGAACACGTACAGCATGGTGATTAAGGAGGAGTCATTCAGAGGCTGACCAACTCAGGTATAAATTCAGGCTCTGCTGTGAGTGACTAAACTGTTCTGAATCTCAGTTTCCTCATCAGATGGAATCACAGCAATGTATACTTTGTAGACAGGGATAGAACCCAGAATGCTGTGATGTTGGAGTTGCTACTATTATATGTTCATAAGTTTCTATATAAAAGAAAATATGCCAAAGAGGAAATTCTTGTGATGACTATTTAAAACCGTATGGGAAAAAAGGCAAGTCTTACTTGGAAATTGATTTAATTCCAGAAGTTTAAGTCAGTGTGGTGTCTGATACATGATTTGTCATAGATGCAATGTTGCAATATAACCTAAAACATAACCAACATGCTGTATCTTTGCAACCAAGGTATTAGAAAACAATGCTGTTGTGAGACTGTTAATTAAAACAGAAATCCAGTAGTGAAGACAAAAGTCTTTTTGTCTCTGTAAAAGGCTGGTACTCGAGGAAAAGCCAATTTAATTAGGAAGGGATGAGAAAATAGAAAGTTCCTTTGTGGAGCTTCTGAAAGGGACCTCTTGGTACTTTCAAGGGCTAAGATGTTGACGATGTTGGTTCTTCATTATGGCACTAGCACTATTTTGACAATCATCAGACAAACTTAGGATACATTTTTTAGTTTCCATATAGATGAGAGCAAGAGTTTTAGGAGGTAACTGAGCAGAGTTTTGGAAGAAAGAGGGGAGAAGGAAAGAGGATGGGAGGGAAGAGATGAACGAGCTGTAAGTGGGGAATGGTAAAGGAAGCATGCCAGGCATGCTGCTGCCCACAGTGGGGGGAGGGCAGGAAGGGCCCTGCATCAGAAGCTGGGGGTGGGGTGGGATGGGGTGGGGTTTGCTGCAAGCAAGGCCTGCCTAGGAAACTAATGAAAACTGGGGTCACACAATATGGTGCTTGAGGCTTTCCACTCAGGTATCATTACCGTCCCTGTGAACCACAGGAGAGCAAATAAACAAATTAAGATATATAATGAGAAAAAAGATACATAACAAGATGCTATTAAGCAATACAAAGAAGTAAAATTAAGCTGAGATATTTAACATCAGTGAATTTCAAGAACGTCACTGAGTACTACGTAATTCTGTTGATATCAAGTTCTACAACAGCCAAACTAATCAACAATGGGAAAAAATAGAGGAGTGATTGCTTCCAGAATGGCACTGGTGCTGGGATATTCTGGGTATGAGCATGGGGAGAAATGTTCTCTATCTTGATAGGAGTATAGGCTAAATGAAGCTGTGCATTTGTAACTACTCACCAAGTGTCTTTAAGCTTTGTGCATTTCACCATATGTAAATTTTACCTTAAAAAAGAGTAATGAGATATTGAACTTCAGTTGATGAAATGCATGCTGAAATGATTAGCAGTGAATAGCAATGATGGTTACAACTAAAATGGATTGATGGATGGACACATGCACAGGTATATGAAAAAGCAAGTAGAGCAAAATAAAAACAATTGAAGACTCAAGGTGGCAGGTATGAGTCTCCACTGTATAATTACTTACAATTTTCTGTATAGTTGGAATTTTTAATTATAAAATACGAGGGGAAACAAGCTAGTCCGTTCTGAAATGATACTTCTGTGTGAAGTGGGTAGCAAACAAACAAAAACCAAATATGAATCTTAGCTATAGATGGGGCTTCCATCTATACATTTTAGGAATACATGTTGTTTTTACATTAGAATGGCATTTCAAGATCCACTCTTATCCCTGTGGCTTTGCCCTGTATGAGAGACATGAACCTGAGGACCTCTTCTATGGTGTTCTCCACAAATCACATCCATCCAAGAGAAAGAATGTGGCTGGACATTCCATCTTTTCCAACGTTAACCTTTTTCTCTGCTCATCTGTTATAGATAAATAGATCATCTATCTATCTGTCTATCACTTTTTGGTGAAAATGCCCCTTTTATAAAGTGATGTGTTGTTTTGGGCCATATTGGTGGGGCAGGGAACTTAAATATGATATTTTAAAATTACTAAAAGTAGCTCATTGAACCTATTCATGAACAATATTTACATGAGGTAACAATATCAAGTAATAACATGCCAGGCATCATTGTGGTCACTTTTGGGGTAATAGCTCATTAAGAAATTTTATTGTTATTGCCATTAAGATGATATAGGCTAGACTACAAATCTACTGGCAAAAGGTAGTCATGGCTGATGATTTGGGGGAAAAGCAGTGTATGGTGTCTAGTAACCATCAGAAACCCTGATGTGCATTTACATTGTCAATAAGAATTAGAAACATTTAGCTGGACATGGTAGGGTGCACCTTTCATCCTACACACACACACACACACACACACACAATGAATTAAAAGCATTTGATTGTCTTTCAAACTTGGTTTCATGGAAAAGCAATTCAATTGCAATTTAGTAGCTCAATTCTGTTCTTAGCCTAGGCCTACCACCTGCATGGCCTCAGCATTTAATTTAACCACTGTGAATTTCATTTCCTTCTCTATTAAATGAGGTTAACAAGGGAACGTTACACACATGTTAGGTGTTTTTTTTTTTAAGTCAGCTATTCTGTTGACAGACTTTCTTTCTGTCGTCATCTTTCTATGACTCCTTCTACAATGGCTTACTGCACTGTGTATATATGTAACACCCTTGTCAAAAGCTATCATTAAGATGTCCCCTCCAGTTAGAAACAGCAAGTTCCCTGGCTTCCCAGCATGTGCATGATTAGCCGCATGTGATAATTACAACCCAAATGATAATACTTACCAGCAGTAGCCTATTAACCTTGTTAGGCACTCACAACAGCATAGACTAGAGGGAAGAAAATCAAAGAGCAAATCAAGCTGCCCATGCATAGTGTGAAGAGCAAGTGGGATAGTAAGGGTGCTCTACAAATGCAGTACAGGGAGGAAGGACTCAGTGGAGATGGACACATATGGGACACATGGCCTTCTTTTACAATTCTGGCCCAATTTTCAGTAAAGCATGGAATATTAGTAGCCATGGTGTGCTCAGAATTAAGGCTAGTTCATATGAGACTTAGATGTGGCATTAACTTATCAAGTCATATGTGACATTTCTTTCTCTACATCAGCTCATTTAATTCTCACAGTGATCAAAGTTAGACAGAATATCTTAAAAGCAATAGGGAAAAAAAGACAGTTACCATGGAATGTGAATTATATCTGAAGAGAGATATTTAAAAACTATAGTCACTTATGAAGGACAGACTCCTCAACAGTAATGACAGAGCCAGAAGAAAATGGGAAATCATAGCCAAGTCTTGAGAGATAAACACTCAGCTTGTTCTCTGAGTGAAGGAAAAATGAGGGTATTTTCCACAAAGTGTTTTTTGTTGTTGTTTT